TCCTCTATTAACCAAGTAGAAGTCAAGAACACCTCACAAGTTCTGCTGAGATTGTTCTATACTACTTAGTTTGCTTCAAATGAAGTCAGTTGAATTAAGCTTAGGTCATCCTTGTTTACTTTTCTTCCTTCAACTTTACCTGAGGTGAATTAGGAAGCACCATGTGATCTCTTGGATAAAATAACTTGGGGCATGTCTTCAACTGATAGTAAGGGTATCTGCTCACAGGCTTGGTGTGAGATTATTACATTGTTGTGTAGCTTTGCACATACCAAACATAGATGAAATAGAACTAGGTGTTAGCATTGGCATGCATTCCATTGTTTAAAAAAAAAAAAAAGTGAAAAAAGTCTTGTGGGAACTGCTATACTTAGCTACAGCTTTAGTAATTCTTGGTTATACTATACATGCAAGTTTTAAAGGCTAACAGCTCACTCCCTAGCAATTAGTTTTATCCATCATTTTACAAGAAAACTTACAAAGACAGATAACTTCCATTTAAATCCCTTGTTACTTAAGGATATTGGTGTTCCCAAGGAGACTTGGTTTTGGATAGAACCTGAAGAGGAAGACAAAAAGGATGAGGAAGACAAGGAAGATGAATGCACAAGCTCAGACTTAAGTGTAAGTTTAAGCTCTTCAACTGAATTAATTGCTCAATTCAAAATTAAATTTAATATTCCTTGAAACAGTATGTATGAATACATACATGTATAAAGGATGTATGTATACATGTTTCCCACACTGTAGTAAAGGGCCTCTTTGCAATCCCAGAGCAGTGACTTCTATAGCAGTTACATGATAAATTATAAAATATTAAACCACTGATATATTGCTCATCTGTTTTGAGGAAGATCTTTGAAAAAATTAGCCTAGAAAATAAATTTTAAACATTTTTTGCCTTGGCCAAGATGCACAAGATCACAGTTATTTGCTTTTGAGTGTTAATTTTGGTTGAAGTTTAGAGTCAATAATTTCTGAAAATGCTTTACAGAATATCTCAAGATGGGCATTGGAAATACATTAAGAACTAGATTACACAGCTGTTGTTAGCCTTATGTGTGTGATTGGCAGAGATTAGGTGTGAAAAAATCCACATAAGATACCATATACATGAAGTCGGGTAGCTAAGTAATATTTTTAGCTCTTTCTCTTCAGTGCAGGTTTCTTAGCTGGAAAGAAGGATAAGCAAACAACAGCCATTAACTTTCCAGAGATCATTAATTCCTGTGCACTCTTCTACAAATGTGGGAAACTTCATGTCTTACTGAGCTGCAGTATTGTGTAGCTTTTTCATAGCATTAGGTTAAAGACTTCATTTTAACAAACCAGTATCAAAGTGGTTTATGTCATGTGAGGCCCAAGTCATCACATACCTGTACATATCTCTAGGTATCAGAAAAGCTACACATCCTGACGGCCTATTTGAGAGAGGAGCATTTCTATTGCATTTGGTGTGGAACAACCTATGAAGGTGAGAGTGAACCAAGCTTTTGTAGGTGCTTTACTTTGCTTATGCAGCTAGACTCCAGCTGTACAATATATCCTTTGTTTTTCTCTTACTTCAGCTTCTGAATCTGCAGAGAAAATTTATCTTCCAGGCCACTGGTTTTTGCACAAAGCTTGGTACATAATGTTATTATGACTGTTAGCCAATTTTTAGGTTTTTAGCCAAAGCAAACAAACAAGAAAAACCCACACACACACAACAAAACACAGCAAACCATGTTGAAATTTATTTAAACTCATATTAAAATTTAATTAGTTTTGAGAAAACATAATTCAGATGTTAAAACCAATATCATAAAAAGCTGCAAAAGCTGGCACATGTTTCTGAAACAATTAGAACACCATCCAGTTTCACAACACTAAAGAGAGTAGAATTTGTGTTTGCTGTTTTAAAACAAATTTGAGACTTACTAACTTGTAAACCTTGAATTCTATTTAATCTCTTCTACAAGGATTCTAGAAATATTTCTGGCATCCATTTTTCCTTCCCTGAGCTGCAATTACTCACTTTTTTTCCTGCTTATCCTGTAGACTCTGAAGATTTATCTTCAAACTGTCCTGGAGACAGTGCTGCAGATCATGACTAAAGCCAGTCTAAAGGAAGAAGCCCTAGATAAGTATGTATAACTCATAGTATCTTTTAAAAGCCTTGGAGCTGCACCATACTCAAGAATTCTTACCAAAGTATGCAGAAGAAGAGTTTAAGTTGACAAGCTAAATTCATATTTTCTGTTTGATGCACAATTTAATAGGAATTAAAATTTGGTATTTGTAATTGAGAGGTAGGTTGAGTTTTTCACAACTTTATGTGTTAGCCAACTGGTAATGAAATTCAAGTATGAGTAAAGGCATAAATATTGGCCAATCACTTTATTACAAAATGTGTTAAATCAGGTTTTTTCATCTTTACAGAGATGCCTAAATACCAGACTGATTTTTCTTACTATCTTAAACTTGGTGGGGGAAAAAAAAAAAAAAAACAAACTTGTGAAACGTGACAGTGACAGTACTTGAACCAATATTCTGTTGTATATAAAGATGCATATTTTCCATAATAAAATAGAATTAGATCATGATGGTGGATTTTCGTTTTTTTACTTAAAAGTACACTTTAATTGATATTTTATTTTTGGGTAACAGCAGTTGCTACTCTAACTAGCCATTTATAAAAAGTTAATGCTGAAGTATACAAATACTATGCAGGGAAAATATATCAAAAACTACTGGAACAAGCTACTGTTACAAACTGGTACAGTATTACTTAACAGCACGAAGGTAACGACACTACTTTGCTCTGTCCAAAAACCGTAAAGGAAATGCTACCAAGAGATTGTCCATTTTCGTATTATGAATAGTTTTATAGAATTGTTTAGGTTGGAACACATCTTTAAGATCATCAAGTCCAACTATATGTTAATTTTATCCCAATAGATTCAAGAGAAGAGAAAGCAGAAATAGTACTATTTTGTCTGTAAAGATAGAAAATTTCTCACAGATCTGGACCACTGCAAAGAAATACTAATTAGTTTGGCATAGTGAAACACTCTGTGAATTCCAGTCAAAGATAAGGTTAGGAGAGCATAAAGCCCTGATGGAATTCATATGGCCAGGGATGTCAAGGAGAAGATCAGAGTCAAGAAAATGTAAAGAACCTAGAGGTGCACAAGTCCATGGGACCTGCTGACCTGCATCCACTGGTCCTGCGGGAACTGGCAAATGAAGTTGCTTGAGTTGGAATTGTTCAGCCTGGAAAAGAGAAGGCTCTGTGGAGACCTTAGAGCAGCCTTTCAGTACCTAAAGGGGGCTGCCAAGAGAGCTGAAAGGGGACTTTTTCCAAGGGCATGTAGTGACAGGATAAGAGGGAATGGCTTCAAAGTGAAAGGTTGAGATAAGATGTTAGGAAGAAATTCTTTACTGTGAAGGTGATGAAGCACTGGAACAGGTTTCCTAGAGAAGCTCTGGATACCCTGCTGCTGGCAGTGTTCAAAGCCAGGTTAAACAAGGCCTTGAGTGATGTCTTCTACTGGAAAGTGTCCCTGCCCAGGGCAGGGGCGTTGAAACTGGACGATCTTTAAGGTCCCTTCCAACCCAAACCATTCTATGATTCTATATATTTCATTCATGATAAAAGAGAAAAAAAGAAAGCAGTGTAAGGCCTTACAAAAGTATGTAAAATCACATTCTTATTTAGCAACAAATACTTGCACCAGAACATCAGTAGTTTCCCTAAGAATACAAATACCTTCTTTTGTTTTATTTATTTCAGAGCAGTCACCCACTTTTAACTCATTATCGTTTCAGAAAAAGCATACAGTACTTTACATATTTGCCTATTTTTTTGCTTAGAAATCTCTGCTCATTTGCCTTTATGGAGTTATGTGGACCCCACATCAATGAACAGTTTGACAAGATAAAGCTCACAGACAAGCACCTGAAGGTCCAATGTGCCTATCTTTTCACCCTGCTCCCCACACCACACTCAGTACTTCAAGTTCAGGCAAGGCTGAACTCTGAAGGATACAAATGAAGAGTAGCAGAGAACCTGCTGTTCCCTTTTTTGAGGCTGGCAGTGGGCACACCAGCGGTACTAAGTACAGTTACTAAGGGTTAGGCATGCCTCAGTATTACAATAAGGGACTAAAACCTAGAAGCATGAGAATGTTTAAAGTGCTCTTTCAGCCTTGGATTTCAAATGGTTACTACTGAGGCAATTTTCCTGTAATGACGAGAAGTTTCCTATATTAATATCACCTTGAATGTTCCTTTCCAAAAAAGACAACCATAAAAACCTAAAGTTTTCAAAATTGAGAATTGTTCTAAATTAGATTTCCTAGAAGCTGAATGTTTAACATTTAAAGAAATCCTCATTTTACAGGTTGAAATTCCAGAGCACTGAAGGTGGTAAGTCATCACCAACTGTGAAGAGATAAGAAAACTTAAAGTACTGAAATTCAGTGAAGAATAATATGCACCTATTCCTAGTATCTTTTCTGCCAAAACCACTCTTGGTACTAATAGGAGCATTCCAGTAATAATTAACAATATCACTGAACAAATCAGAAAGGTTTGAGTCACATACCACCAAGACAGCAGTTCTTCCATGGAAAGCAATAGATAACCTTAAGGGATAATGGATTCAGCACATGCAGGGATTTGGCACAACCCAGTTAGCATTTTAGCAAATCAACATGATCTTCGAGAGGAAAAGGACTGGTATTGTACATACCAGTCCAGTTCAGCTACAACCTATGTTTCCAGGTAAAAACTGAGTGTGATTCCTTGCAGATGAAGATTGAAGAAGATGAAGATTCTTGCAGATGAAGATGAAGACTTCTTGCCTCGTCCTGGTTGCAGCCAGCAGACATGAATGGTGATGTGGCCAAGGAAAAGACACACCCCAAGTCTTGCTGTTACTTCTGACATCTCTTGTCATTTCATCAATTGTAATAAATTCATCAAACTCTGGATTTAAACACAGTGTGAAAGGACATTCAGTAAGAAAAATTTCTAGGTGCCTTCTCTTTATCAGCGGACTTAACAAGGTCAAGTAAACGAGATGCAGTGATTCTTCCTGAAGGGGCTGTTGAAAGCATCTTTCTGATTATGGATGCCTGCAAAAAAAAATAAATGTCAATAGTTTGGGGTTTTGGGTTTTTGTTTTGTTTATTTTTTGATTAATACAGTACTCAAAAAATACATTAAAATCCCATACCTCTGTTGGAAATTGTAAGTTGAAGTGCGCTGGAAGCACACCTTCTCTAACAGAAGGCCATACCTGAAATTATTAAAAGAGAATAGTTTTGGTATGCTTTCATTTGTTATGTTTTGCATCTCCACTTTATGGCCCATATAGTTTACTGAAGTAGTTAGGAAAACAAATCTACAGGAAATGTAAAGCTTCAAAAGGTAACTGTAAACAGTTTGAAAGTTGGGGCTTTTTTCATTTAGTTGTGCTTTGGTTTGGTTTTATGGACTTTTCATAAACTATTACCCATTTCTAATCTTAAAAGCTTCACACACAACAATGACATGTTGTTTCAATCATCCTCTATTTCGGAGCCATTATCTTTCTTTAATTTAAAAGTAATGGATTTATATTGTCTAATGACATTGAAAGAAAAGAAAAAAGCAAGACAACTGAATTTCTGTTTGCAAGCCAAGCAGGTGTGCTTCCTCCTTTTTATCATATTCAGTACCACACATTTATTTCTATGTCATTGTACAAAATGCTACACGGACTTCAAAGCAACTAACGAAATGGCTTTTGGTTAACCTTTTTTTTTTTTATATGACACTGTCTCTCACAACATCCTGACGGGCAAGCTCAGGAAGAGCAGGCTGGACAAATGGATGGTGAGGTGGACTGAGAACTGGCTGAACAGCAGGTCCCAGAGGGTCACACTCAACAGCACAGGGCCTAGTTGGAGGCCTGTCACCAGTGGTGTCCTCCTAGCTTCAGTACTGAACCCAATATTGTTTAACTTGTTCATCAATGACCTGGATGAAGGGGCAGATGCCTCCTCAGCAAGTTCACTGAACACAAAGTTGGGATGAGTGGCCAATGCCCCAGAGTGCTGTGCAGGCCTTTGGAAGGACCACAACAGGCTGGAGAGCCGAGCAGGGAGGAACCTTCTGAAATTCCACAAAAGAAAATTCAGGGTCTTGCACCTGGGCAGAAATAATCCTGGGCACCAGCATACACTGGAACAGATTGTCCAGAGAGGTTGTGGAGTCCCCCTGACTGGAGGTACACAGGATACAGGTCCAAGTAACATGCTCTAGGGAACCCTGCTTGAGGAGGTGGGTTGGACTAGATGATCTCCAGTGACCCCTTCCAACTTCACCCATTCTGTGATTCTGCAAGTGGCTTTCTGGGTAAACAGAGCAGTCTGCTTAATTAATTTGCTGTTAACTAGTGTAATGTCTGCCTGAAGATGACATTCATGACTTAGCTGTGTATCCTGAATCATCAGCTATTCCTATAAGCCTGGCATAGCAAGCCCTTTACAACCACTATCCAGTAAAACAACAGCTCCCATGAACTTGGAGTTTTTTCCCCTACTCTAGCAGTAGCTTTAGGCCTGTGACCCTACATGCTGGTGATCATCAAATGAACCAGTTATTCAGCACAGAATAATCCACTTTGCTTTTGCATGATGCTCTTACAGCAGGGCTTGCCAGCACTAAAGTTTATCATGTTGCATTAAATGAAAATCTTTCTAAGCTAATGGAGCAACTGAAGACCATCCTAGGACTTTCCATCCACATAACTTCTCCACCTGCCTGCAGAGCACAAGATTTTTATAGTTTAAGGAAATTATGCTTTTCCAACTGTAAACACCATGGAACTGTGCATGCATTTGCAGTCAACTGTGAGCAGGAACAGAAGGACTGAGGAAGTACTGCAAGGTGGCTGGAGAGAGCCAAGCTGAACAGACACACTGGTATGATCTTCTCACTGGAAAAATTATCTGATTAACAGTGTTCAAAATCTGAGTCCAACCACAATTACTTCAGACATGATGCCCAGCAGCTACATCACTGTCCTACCAATATGTAGGTTTGCACATAAAAAGCTCAAAGCACATACAGGACAGCTTTTCTAAAAAAGCTTAAGTAACGAGAGGTTTCTTTTTGAAATAATATCTGTTTCACTTAAAGAAACCTGTTCCAAATCACTTTTGTTTTCATCTTGGAAAACTGCAAGGGTTTTGATTTGGTGGAAACTCTTCTTGCTCCACTGTGCAGTGAAGACAAGAGCATGGCAGAGACAAAACTCACCTAAAATATATATATAAATATATATATAAATAAAATTAGAAAAATACTCCCTTTAAGTTTCTGATCAAAGAAAAAGATACATAAGAAACTTGACATCCTTTTGTGCTTGACTTTATTCTTTAGCATGCTTGGGCTTTAGTGTATATGTAGTAGGACAGAAGTGAAATAAAGTGCAGTATTTCTTTCCTTCAGTTATGACATTTCAACTGAGGTGTGAGGCCTTACAGGCTTTATAGAAATGAATTAAGGTAAAAAAATGTAAATAGAGATAATACTCAAGATAAAGAGATTCCTTTTAGAATGGAATAAGTGATACCAGAAGCAAGGCAAAACAACAACAGAGGGAGTTTTCCAATTTAAAGATTACATACCTTAGTTTTTTCATGACAAGTGAATGCCGAAAGAATTTCGAACCAGATTAATCCCAATGCATAAATATCTACTTCCTTTCCATATCTGGCCCCAGTCTAGAAAGATTCAAATAGAACAATGTAAGTATCAAATTCAACTGGAGAACAGCACTTCTTAAAGCAAAATTGCAAGTCAACAGAAATTTCTACCCCAAGGCTACAGGACTGGCCCTACTCAATATCCTTCTTAGTTGTTAACCCTTTCTGCCTCCGACCTGTTAAATAGTGACTGAACACCCTGAAATTAAGACTTATATAGACCTATACAGATAAAGCATGTCAATGTTGCCCTGTGACAAATAATGAAACAAAGACAGAAACTCAAATTATGCAATTAACAGGGCCCCTAAATTAAAATCTAAATATATGTCTGGCAGCCTGGTTTTACAAGAGCATTCCTTACAGCAAGCAGTGTCAGACGCTATGTTCACAGAGAACAAAAAACTATACCACACTTGTGGTAAAGCTTTCTCCAGAGTACAGCTAGCTTTTCATACAGTCATACCAGGGAACTTTAGGCAACTTGCTTTAATACTGAGATTAGGATTGCAAACATCCAGTGCTGAGTTTATAGTGCATGTCTAAATACAGAGACACTAATGCAGCAGGATAATTACCTGTTCTGGTGCCATATACGATTTTGTTCCTCTGTTCTCAGTCAGAGTCTCAAATGTCACAGAAGTCACAAGACCGAAGTCACCTATTTTTATTTTATTATCATGTGATATGAATATATTCTGAGGCTATTTTCATATATATAAATAAAAAGAAAAAAAAATAATCACCAAATGACCAAGGTTTATCATCAAGCATAATCAGCCACAGAAGTGTTTCCCATAAAATTTGATGATTGTTCAGAAAGTACCATTAAGAAACTGATGGTGTGAAAAGAGGAGTAAGTTAAATGAATTTTTAAAAACACAAACTAGATTTCAAGTAGTACATTCTGCAGTAACTGCACTTTTTTTCCACTAGCTCAGTCATAAATGTGTCATGCTTTAACTGCTCTTCAAATACACTGTTCATATAACAGTCTATATCCCAAAGTACTTTTCACTCTTCAGTCCTAGCCAGAACTTGATACACTTAGGCAAAGCATTTAGTCTTACATGGAATTCCACTCAAATCAGAGTTTCTCCTAAGCACTGAAGGATCATGTGCACTCAATCAAATGCAGAGTCAAGGCTTACTACAGGTATCTCAGAGTATCATGTTTACATTTCCATTAAACTTCCCCTTTTTAAATTTGACAGTGTCATGGCTTAAGGTGAGTTGGCAACTAAGCACCACGCAGTGGAATGGGAGGGAGAATCAAAAGTAAACTTGTAAGCTGTGTTTAAAACAGTTTGATAATTGAAACAAGAGAAAAATTTAATAATAATGTTAAACAATGATAATAAAAGTATTAAAAAAACCAAACCAAAACAAGGAGAAACAAATTACGCACAGTACAATTGCTCACCACCCACTGACTGATGCCGGATCTCCTTCCTAAGCCCAGATAAGCCTCTCTTCCATGTAAAAAACTAGTATTTGACTTAAAATAAACACTACCTAGTAGCAACCAAAACATCAGTGTGTTATCAGCATTGCTATAATACTTAACTCAAAACAGAGCACTGTACCACCTACTGAAAAGAAATTAACTGTATCCTAGCCAAAACCAGAACATGAAGTCAAACAACTAAAAATAGAACTATATATGCTTCAATGAAGTTTCCCAAAGAAGATAAAGAAACTACACTTCTGAATGTTTTTAAAACAAAACCAAATAGCCTCATGCTGTCTTTTACTCAAAGAAGCTCCAGTGGTCCATAAGGCCAGGAGATACTTAATAGTCAATAGGAGATCTTCATGTAAAGAATGCTCTGTGTAGTTGTTCTGTTCAAGTCTGGCCATGAGTACCCATATTTAATATAGTACCTGTAGCTGGCTACACTATTTAATGACTCTATTCCTACCAGGCACAAATTACTTTAATCTCAGCTTGACCCTATCCTGCAACTTTGATTCTGGGCTATGGAGATCTCAGATGGCCAAGCACCTAAGCTGACAGCAGAGCAGAGGAGAGGAGAGCTCCTCAATTCAAATACAGGTAGAAGAGTTAGCAGTATAACTTGGTTCTGGTCAGGAGAGGGTTAATTTGTGCAGTAATCAGTCGGGAATACATGGCTAGGACAAGGAGGTTATTCTATACCACCTCATGTCATTTTCTGGGAATGGGGGAAGGATTCGCTTCCAGGTCATGGGAGCATGGCATGATCAGGTAGGGCTCCACAGTGAACTTTTTGCATGTGAATCGCCCTGGTTTTAGACTTCTGGTTTTAATGTTACTATTTTTTTCCTGTGTTTTCTTATGTCATTGCTGTTTCTGCTGTTTCTAGTAAGTTGTTCTTATCTCAACCTGTGCTCTTTACCTTTTGTGCATCCAGTTTTCCTCTCCAGCCTGCCACAGGGGAAGGGCAAGTGAGCAAGCAGCATGTGGATTCAGTAGGAGCATTAAATTTGAGAATACCACTCCTGATCGACCACAGCCTCATTCCTACCTCAGCTTGTAGAGCATGAGACTCCTAATCTCAGGGTCAAGGGTTTGAGCCCCATGTTGAGCATCAAATATGCCGGGGTGTGTCGGGGATCAAGTGAGGCACTTGTGGGTTCACTGGAGCTGCCTGCTGTGAAGGGACTTCAGTCCCAGCTGTGAAGGTCTCTGGTGGTAGGAATTTGACTGCCAGAGTGGCTCCTGAGTAGTCAGGTAGGGAAGTTAACTTAACCCTAGGAATGCCACCACACTAATGATTTTTTTTTTTACTAAGTGAGTGATTTAAATCTCTGTAAGCAACATTATAGCTTCTATCCTGAGGCCATGAAGGCTTTGTCCCTTAGAATCTTTATATTGAAATAAAATCTTCTTATGACTGTGCACATCTAGAGACTGAAAGTCTATCCAAAACTGTAGCATTCAATCATTCATATGCATACACAAGACAAAAGTATCTAGAGCACATTATTATCAAACACAGCATGTATTAGGATAGATCCCTTTACAATATGACAAGAGCCACTGTCTAGACTCAACTTTTCTTTTTCCAATAGGCATCTTGTGACCCAGTAACACACTGAAAATGCCTGTTAGTTGATGACTACTGATTCTTTGAACTATTGTGTTCTGAGATCTTCCAAGTTCACCTGATTTTAGGATGAGGTTCAGCCAGCTGCTGAAAGAGAATCAATCACTAGCAATATCCAAAGAAGCACACTAGTAGGGTACATAACAGAGTAAGCAAAGACTACAACAATTTAACATTCTCTGAAATTCCAGTAAGTATACTACCTTTAACCTTTTCTTTTTTTTTTTTTTCTACATACCTTGAGGTCTCGATGAATTAACTCTTTAGAATGAATATATTCCACTCCTTTCACTATTTGTAAAAATTTCTTTTGTGCCATTTCATGATACTTTTGGTCTTTGCTAGTTTTTGCAACCCAGTTTTCCAATGTCCCTTGTTCACAGAATTCCATTTGGATGAAAAGACAGAGAATTTTCTGTTTTGAATTCCAGCTTCAAAAGAAAATTACATACCATATTGAAATTGGCAAGATATAATTCCTCCCAAGTAATTTTCAAAAGCCCTTTTTGCTAACAATTATTTTTTGAGTTACCCAAAACAAAATCTGCAAATCCCTTAATTTTAAGGAAGATACTAGAGCAATTTGTATTAAATAAAAAGGACTGCAACCCAAAGAACCCCTGCTCAGTTGCTACATATTCCTGGAATATTTCTGAAGTTTTGCTTGCTTTCTAGCAAGTTTCTAGTTTCACACTGGTAGTTTTCTGAAAGCCCAAGTTCTATTTCCCTCATACCTAGAAGCATGCCCTATCCAGGAAGAAATGCCACTGTCCTTGGCTCCATCTGGCCTTGTAGGAACTGCTGCAAGACCCTGACACATGTTCTCTATTCTGCTCAAGAGACACAGCATCAGCCTTCCTATCTTGCCCAAAATGGTCATGTTCTTTCCAACTCTGTCCTGTCAAGAAGGTAGTGCAGTGACCATTTTTGACATTGGTCTGCTAGTCACAGAAACCCTTCTGAGAACTGGAAATCTAGATGAAATATATTCACCCATCTGGCAGCCTCCCACATTCCAGAGAAGCCCATAAGATAGGCTGAGGCTGGAGATGGCGAGGGGAAGGAAAATAGAAAGAGAAGCATGCACTGTTTTTTATTATGTACACTGTGTGATGAGTGCCCTTGAATAAAGCTGCTCAAAGCACTGAAAGAACAAGCATTAAATGGCTCAGGACTCTGTAGACTTGAGGTTAGGGCACAAATTACAGTCTGGGACCTCTGCTTTGAGGACTTTTTTTTCTTTTACCCAGTAACTGTTTAATGTAAAATATACACATGATATTGGGGCTCCAACATATTAATGGTTCCGTTTTGACAGACCTTTCCCCCCTGTTTTACTGCTTCCTTAATGAGCATAGTAATGGAGAGGTATCATGCCAACCATAATTTTGAATCCATTAATATTTTATGGCTCTAAGTAAGTATGGCAGCCTATCTGAAGAGTATGAATTCACAGCCAGTGAAAAAAAGCTAAGGACAGAAGCTTGGAAATGTTAATAGCCTAATTTACAAGTAAAACTCTCACTACTGTTTTATCACAAGTCTCAGTGTCAAAAGGCTACCTCTAAATTAAAGAGTATTTCATTTTGTATTCCTTTTCTAAACAATCAAAACTGTTTCAGGCATCATAGTTAAAATACTAACTTATTACAAAAAAGAAACTTCTGATCAGGAATTTGGTAGCCAACTGTCATACAATTTTTCTGTTGTTATTTCTTGCCCCAAATTTCGAGTTCTGCATTCTTACTCTTGCCTATAAATTCATTAAGTTCCATATATTGAAAGAGGAGTGAATTATAAAACTATATTATGTACCTTATTAATCAAGGAAAAGAAGATATTTGTAAAATAATTGATAACCAATTATCAATAGCATGAAGTTCACTACAGCTGTGAAAAAAGTTTGTGAATGCAAACTATTATTTTAGTTACCTTGAGTCTGGGTACTTGATATAGTCATCCCCTTTCCAGCTGAAATGATAGCGCACTATGTTCTCATGTGTAAGTCTTGCAAGCCCTTGTGCTTCACGCTCTACTTTCCTATCAGGAGGGAGGAAAGAATTAAAAAAAAAAAAAAAAGACATTTCCCTATTACAGTGTAATACAAAGTTAAATAAAAGATAGGCTATCAAGTGGCAGGATACAGGTAGTTTTATATTAATTTAGAAACAAAGCATAATATTCTCCTTCATATAAGTTCAAAGGTCAAAACTGAAGTTACAAATCTGACAGGTTTTCTTTCATCTGCTCAGTTATTCAAAGTGCAAAAAGTGTTTTAACCCTATTAGGAATTAAATCCCCACTGAAAAAAAAGCTGAAAAAGCAGGTAGCTGCAAACCCACCAGCAAAGCAGCAGTCATTACTTGAAGAATCAGTAAGTTTTCAGTATAGTTGTCAGGATAACAATACCAATGAAAATAACATGTATTTGCAAAGAACACAAGAATCCAAAGGGAAATGTACACATTACACAAATTAAGGGACGAGTATCTCCAACAATTTAAAACATTTTCAATAGATAACCTAAAAAATTAAAAACCTAAAAACTGCTGATAAAATACTCCACTAGGTAACAGAAAATTATCTTAAAAAAAATTAAGATCATCTTTCTCAGTTGAGATTTATAAAAGACAAGTAACACAGCATAAGAGTAATGACTACATGGGTCAGATATAAAGCATTTTCCAATTACAAACCACAAAATTTATTACATGGATTTTTTTCTATTTTTTGTAACTATAGTTATTTTGTATTACTGATATGGAAATTTTCCATATAGCCTCTCAAAAGTAACAGGGCTGCTTTCAATGTTTTAATAATCATCAGGTTTCCCTCACACACATTTTGCAATATTAGCAACCAGATAACTGCTGTGCTCAGGGAAAAGAGAACTTAACACACCTAACGTTTTACAGCTCCAGCAGAAATTAACCCATTACATGCAAAAATTAACAAAGGTTCAGGACCACTTGCAGGTTCACTTGCAAATAAAGAAAACAATTTACTAGAAAGGACAGATAATTAATAATGAAAATCACCTAAATGCTCCTCGTATTGTTGAAGAGAGAAAATAAAGTATTAACATATTGATTAAGGTTGTCCTAAAACACAGAAATAAGCATTCAGTACATACTCTGTGAATTCAACTCGTTTGATTGCATAGGTTTTCTTATCACACTTGGATGTTGCCTTGAAAACATTCCCAAAACCACCTGCACCAATAGGCTCTATTTTTTCAAAATGTTCGAGGAATCTTTGGAAAAAAAAAAAAAAAAAAAAAAAGAAAACCACAATTATACTTAATTTTCAATTAAGGATATAAAAATAATCTTGACAGATTTAATGCATCTACTGCAATATCATCCTGCAGCCATCATTTGACCAATCTACAGGTCTAAATCACAGCCTTGGAGATGAAAACAAGGGAAACTGACCTTTCCAGGCATGTCAGGTAACTACCCTCACATCTTCACATGAATGACATTTGCTTTAAATGCTTTAAATACCATTGCTTGTCAATTCCTATGCTAGATTTGAAATTTCTAGGAAAAAAGTCTAGTATCAATTTTCTTTGAAAGTTCTTTTCACAGCAGTATTTTCCCTCCTTCTACTGCAAATAAAGAAACAAACCTAGATTCATACATGCTGTTCTTGCCTTATAAATATTAATTAAAAAAAAATCCTTCTTACGTTTTATTGACAGTGTGCGGACTCCCCTTCTCTTCTCCAGTATTTGTGTCCACATCTGGCCAACTTTCATTTGAATGTGATATATTTGCTCCCTCTTTCTTGTTTCTTACAAAATAAGCAAAATTAGCTGCCAATTTTCTTTAACGAGGACAAAAGCAAAATTTATAATGAGCCATTTTTCTAACACATGATGAGAAAAGAAATATACCTGCCAATAGCAGCATTTCTTCACTAGAGATAGAAAAAATAAATTTATTTAAGGTATATATTATTTACAGGAGATAGCAATCTAGAAATAAACACATACCTTTTGGCCTTCGAACTTTGTGCATTTTTCTACATGGAAAACAGAAAAAAAAAAAGCCTAACTGAGGTATCTTGAATTTTTTCACTGCAGTCTGTTTAAAACATGTCTGATACTGTATCTAGGAATTGCCTATAAATATGATCATACCTTATGTAAACAATGTCATAAGAATGAATTTTAGCTCAGTGTTTTTCACATATGCAAAAACATGCATAACATTATCGTTACAAATAATGAGCTTAGTTTGACCCTTTTCTTGGGAGTACTGGCATTTCTTAAACACTACATAAATTTGATACAGAAGGAAATGACTAATGGTTAGCATTACTGAACATTCTTAGGAAAAATGCATGTATTTTCCAATGATTAGTGGATAAAACAACAAACTGATGTTACACTCCAACAAGAAGCATGCCCTATTCAGGGTCTAAAATGTAGTTACGTAATATATGTATTTCATACTATACCTGAAAAGGTGAAGGCTTTTCACATATTGCCATGTCATTCATTTTTTCTACCAACTTTGCAGATGAGTCAGCAAAGCCAATGCTGTTTTTACTGGAAAATAATGGACTATTTTTAGGTGAAAGTAACACAACAATAAATAAAATTATTCTCACAAGAAAAGAAATACCAAAAAAAACAGGGTTTTTAAAGCAAAACTGAAAAAGCATTAACAATTATGACTGATTTAAACTACAACACATCCTGCTTGAAAGCTATTAAACTAACAAGACTTTGTAATATTCTTTATTTCTGTTATAAAATGAGCCTATGATATCTAGAAGATAGAAGAATGTAAAAGTGGCAGTGGCACTACAGGTAAACTGCTGTTTCTTAAATCACATATCAAACTTAATGCATATTCAGTTTCTTTTGCTAAGCAAATTTTTCCCTTTGGTGGAAATGAAGATTCATGTAGAATGAAAAAAGGGGGAAAACAAAAAAGAAAAAAAGGGAGAGAAGCAAGCAGAATACGGAGCACTGGAGAGTACTGAATTTGAATTATACAGAGTTCACAAGAGTGTCACAATAGGAAAATGAGTGTTAAAATGGCATGAAATAATGCGATTGAATGAGTATTTACATCACAGAAAAAATGCTTCTGAAATGCTTTCATAAAATGTGAACAAATCAGAAAGCTCTAAACTTACTATAAGCTATCCCATACAGACTCACATAAAACTGCACAAATAGAACAAACTTTGCTCTGAAGTTTAAGGAACAGAAGTTAAAATTAGATAGCTTTATACTGCAATAAAACAATAAAATTATATATTTTATTTAGAACTAGATTACATTACCCTATAAGATGACTAAATACATTGTTATCACTTTAGCAGTGAACCCAACTTACTCTGAGTCAGACTCAGCTGGCACTTGAGAGGAATTGCTGTCTTTGCTAAATGTAGAACTGCCGTTAGATCTTTCAGTTTCCATCTGGGGAAAAAAAAAAAAAAAAAAAAAAAAAGCCAAGAATGTTTAACAAAATCACATAAACAAATCTCTAGTGCAAAAGATGCTGTCCAGAGAGGGCAGAGGGAAGATTACAGGATCCTAAGAGCAAGTTGGCAACTGCACTAAACATTCAAAGCCCTGCAGAAGAAAGGCATCTGCCCAATTTCCACCCAGAGAAAGGAAAACACAGGAACCTATCACAGTGAGGGTACTATACAGACACATTTACAAAATAGAGTCTGGATTCTATTCAAAAACAGGATAAGAGTAAGAGTTATGGAAAGCAAACATCTTTGTTGTCTGCTGCATGTGCAACTGCTGTGTGGAAAATGAGACATATGTAGCCTTTGATATATGTAATCAGCAGAACTGAAAACCTGAGTCAGTACAAATTGACATTCAATGTCTTCAGCATGAAAACACTCCAAAACTCATAACTAAATTAGGGTTGAATTAAAAAAACGATATCCCAAATACTTAGTAGAGGTTCTTCCCCTTCCTCCCACTACCGATGTCATAAGAGCACAAAAGTAACATTAAAAGCAACAACCTCAATGGACACAGACAACCACCTCACAAAAAGTCAACAAAATTTCTTTTCTTTTTTCATGCTTCCTGGTACTCCATCACAGTATCATGGACACAAAAACACAGGGTTTATGTTTAAATGAAAGCCCCCTTTTTCTTAAATACAGGAGTACTGGACCTTTACTACTTTTTACCAGATTACATTTTGTTTGTTACCCAGACATCACTGAGAATTAATAAAAATTAAAACCAACCCAAAACAACTCAACTGAAATTTAGACTATATAGTATACAGGTTCTGTTTGAGGTAATAAATTTCAGACTTCAATGAAAACAAAAAAATCCATGGGTTTGCAACAAAGGAAGATATTAATAAAGGCTCCTAGAGCTATAATACGACATTAATTAATTACGTGGTTGACTTAAAAACAATTCTAAAAGCATTTGAAATTCACAGTAATATCCAAATAATTTTAAAAGTACTTAAAAGTAAAAAAGGCTTCTTCCCACCCCTATTCTGCCATTCTTTCCCTTAAACTACCCTCCATTTAGTTAGTTCATATGTTCTGTACATTTCAGAAGTGGGTTTGAATCACTACTGGAATTCTGATAGTTTTTTGCACATGTGGAAATAACAGCTGCCAACATGAAGACAACAGCTGTGCTCTCCAGAGGATGGTGTCAGCAATTGTTTCATAGGACTCTGCCTTGGAACACTACAGAAGGCAAATCCTGTTGATTCTGACTCCTGCTTTTGCCTCTCACATTACACAACAGATTTTTGATCCAACAGAACACAGTAAAAGAAGTATGTTCATAGCCTGCCAGCTTAACAACACATCTCACAGAAGACAACTGGTATACAAGTTGGAATTTTAAAATTTTTAAAATGTGTGTATCCTTGAATGACAACATATCAGACCTATTCTGAAACACAGAGAGATATTGATTGTTAACAGTTTGGGTTTTTTAATCCAGAACTGAATAAAGAAGGACAACATAAATTCTACTAACAATATGGATTGTTTCCTTCTTCAGTGGTATACATGGAATATGCTTTTAAATACAACAAAGAAATTGGTTCAAAGACTTAAACTTCTGTGAAAAGTTTAAATATAGCACATAGTGTCAGAGAGCTTTCCTTATTTACCTTCTCATATGCTTCCTTTGCAGCAGCTTGTTTTGCAGCACCTAGGGAAGGTCCAGTGCCCCTTCCATACAAACAACCACTAATTGTACAGCTAACAAAATACCTGTAAAATACAACAGGGAATCGAGTCTTGTATCCCATATAACAAGTCTCAATTTATGATTTTTAAACACTACAATCAAGTGACATTACAGAATGGAAATCTGAAGTATACATCTTCAGGACAGCATTTTCCATATACATTTAATGTAATTAATTATGGTAGGTAACTAATTTGTTGTGCCTTAAAGATAACTCACTGGAGAGCAGCACTGCAGAAGGGCACCTGTACATCCTGGTCCCTGGCAAGTTGAACCTGAGTCAGCAGTGCCCTGGCAGCCAGGAGGGCCAACCCTGTCCTGGGGGGCATCAGGCACAGCATCACCAGCCAGGCAAGGGAGGGGATTGTCCCACTCTGCTCTGGGGTGGCCTCACCTCAAGTCCTGTGTGCAGTTTTGGGTGCCATAATATAAAATGACATTAAGCTATTGGGGAGTGTCCAAAGGAGGGCAACAAGGATGGTGAAAGGCCTTGAGGAGCAGCCGTATGAGGAGCAGCTGAGGTCACTTGTTCTGTTCAGCCTGGAGGAGACTGAGGGCAGACCTCACTGCAGTTACAGCTTCCTCCTGAGGGGAACAGGAGGGGCAGGCGCTGATCTCTGCTCTCTGGTAACCAGTGACAGGACTCAAAGAGAGAACATGAAGCTGAGTTAGGATAAGTTTAGGTCAGATATCAGGAAAAGATTCTTCACCCAGAGGGTGCCTGGGCACTGGAAGATTCCCCAAGGAAATGGTCACAGCACCAGCCTGACAGAGCTCAAGAAGCTTTTGGATAATGCTCTCAGGCAGATGGTGTTACTCCTCCTAAAGATTCAGCTAACATGACCAAGGATAACTAATGGGAGCATTAGTAAACACAAAAAGTATTAGAAGTAAGCAGGAAGGTAAATTATATCTTACGTGGGAGCATGGGCATCTCCAGTACGAGTGTTAGGATACTGAACTATGTGACGCGTCTTTTGGGAAAAAATATTTAATAGGCTGACATAATCTTTGTTCAGTGCAGGTGAGGAGGTTGTTTGAGCTGTCATTAACTCTGCAGCTTCCACATTTGAGGGACTCTTATGCTATAAAACAAACAAAACGCGTAACTTGAAAACTTAAGCTTAAAAATACATTAAGATAAACAGTGCACAAGAACTAATATAGCTGCAAGGTTTGTCCACATTTCAAAACACTCTTAAGAAATCCCAAGTTTCCATTAACCGAGTCCTTTGTGGCAAAGGACAGACATACCAAGCATAATTATTACATTTTGAATAAATGTAAACCTGGCTTTCCAAGTACTACACTTTTGCCTTTAACAACCTCTCACCATGCCTCATCCCACCCTTTTTAGGAAAATATAGGGAACAAGCTGTGAAGAAGGGATGGCAGCAGGATGCTGCTGATGCTCCCATTTAGCAAGGGCTGCAAACACTCCTGTGCATGTACAAGAGGGGAAAGCAGGATTTTCAGCTGTCTCATGATTAGTCAACATCAGTAACCTATCAGTAGACATGCAGCAATTGTGTTAAAGTAATGACAGTGACACAACAAAAGCCATACAGAAAAAGGTAAGGAAAGATTTCACTCAAAAGGTGCTAAGAAGCATTCAAAGTCAAAAAGAAAAATAAAGAACAGCAAATAAAGAAGGGCAAAACACTTGGCAGAAAATCAAGGAGCAAAATTCAAACCTAGACTTAATCAAGGAAAGTTAGAGTATATAACTAGCTCTACTGTAAAGAACATAATAAAAACGAAAAAAAGATTAATTATAACAAGTGAAAGCAAGCAATTTCTTTAGCAGAGTGGCAACAGACACACTGAGTAATTCCCTACAAATGTTTTCAAGACATTGAATCACTGAACAATTGTCAAGATATAAAAGGACCACTGCCCACTTTGGATAAACCAAGGCAGCTTAACAAATGCAAATACATTTCCTTATCCTCCTGTAATAGCAGAGGCGGAAACACAGTATTAGATATCAACCCTATAGGAAAAAAAAGTAAGGAAAAAAAATCTGTGATAAAAAGTAGAAAAGTGATGAATAAAACAGAAAAAGACAGCTTGAATAATTAAAAACTGTTTCAAATTAAACAACATTTTATCAAAAGTCTACTTTCAGATATTAATCTTTAACATTTACTACATTACATGTGATAGTAACTCCCCAAACTTAATCCTACTATTTACTCACCTCTTTCTTAATAATTTCCCATGCTTCTTTTGCTGCTGCTGCTTTTGCTTCTTTTTTACTTTTACCAGTGCCTCTACCATATTCCTTACCGTTTATTTTGGCAACAACTGTGAACCTGCAATGAAGGAAACTTGTCTAAAACATTGCTACATACATACTTTAATAACCTTATCAGAACTTTGGGGTTTATTATCTACAAAGCACTATAGGATACACTATGGGAAGTACTGAAGCATTAATGTGGTTTTTTTAATATCAAACCTATGATTATCATAATCTTCAGTATAAATACTTCTAAAATTTTCCTTTCTAGTCACAAATGCATACACTTGATTAGTTCCAACAGTACTTTTAACTGCTTAACTGCTTTTTAAAATAAAAATAATTTACTTTTTAAAAGCATAAGAATGGATGAGGTCAGCACTGTTACAAGCAAGATTGTAAAGCCCTAACACCAAGACACATCTCAGTAGTGACACAACATAGAGGAAAGATTAGCTTATTTTGGTTTCCTGAAACCAGACATGACATTACACTCACCTTTAACACCCTGTGATGTACACTGCTTAATAAGAGCAAAAACCACGTCTGGTGCTTGTGAGACATGAATTTAAAGGCAGTCAAAAAAAAGCCCCACCAAAACAAAAAAACAAACAAAAATTACCAACAAACAAACACAGGCCCCAGTCCTGCCTTTCTCTGCTCAACTGCTGATCCCTTCCCTCTCTGTCCCTCCATTCCACAACTGTGCATGTCCTGCTTCCCATATGGCAACTCCATGAGTTCAGAATGGCAATCTGATGCAGCTCAGGACCAACAGTACTGGATCTGGCTGGGATGGGGTTACCCTTCTTCAGGGCAGCCAGAATGGTGCTGTGTTGTGGCTTTGGAACTAACACAGAGTTAATGTTTTACCTACTGCTGAGTAGCGCTTGCAGCAAAGTTCTTTTCTTTTTCCCAGTCTGGCTTTCCAGCAAGCAGAGGAGGGATATGTGAGAAGCTGGGAAGAGACACAACCACGGCAGGTAGCCAGAGGGATGCCCTATGGCATCACACTCAGCAATAAAAGCTGGGAGATGAAGAAGGAAGAGGGGATACCCATGGCTATAGTGTTTACCTTCCCAAGTACACATCGGACATGATGAAGCCCCGCTTTCTTGGAAACATCTGCCAGCTGATGGGAAGGAGTAAGCAACTTCCTTATTTTGCTTTGGTCACACATCCAGCTATGCTTTGTCTATTAAACTGTCTTTATCTCAATCCACAACTTTTTGCTCCCTTTCACCTTGCTGATCCTCTCCCTGGCCCACTGGGGGGAAGTGAGTAGTTAGCTGGGGGTTTCACTGCCTCCTGGGGTGAACCCACCACTGTGCCCTAATAACGAATGGTTGGATTTCAAACTAATCAGTCCTTACAGATCCAACTTGTCCTGCAGCTGCAAATCCTCTGATGTTTCTGCTACTGCCTTTGCACAAAAGGCAACAGAGGAGAAAACAGCAACTGGATTTCTGCCTGTGGCAGCAGCACACACTTGCACCAAGTTAAAGTGATCATTAGAGCCTCAGAGCATCTCTTTGCTTCAGATTGCAGCACACAGCCAACAGGATGGATTCACACAGTCAAGGTACAGCACTGTGAGCTCCTCTGTGGGAAAATTGGTCTCAAATAGTGTAGTGACTTTAGGAACTCACTTTTTTCATTATTCCAACCTCATTTTCCACTTCCCTTTAATTAAATATTTGGGTGGGAAACAATTAAGATGCAGAATGAAGTGCTTGCTCTCATTGTGTAAGCAAGGCTTAACAAGAAATCTTAAGGAGGCAAACAGTAGGAAAAGGCACCCCCTTAGTGTGCCATATACTCTACACATAGGAAACAACAAAGAAAAAACAAAACATGTAAGAAAGGTTGTTCTTTGGGAAGGAGTTTGTCAGTCAACCCATACCTAAGTGCTGAATACTACACACATTCAGCTATGACACTGCATCAAAAATACACCATTTTATTTAAGCATCCTGAGGAAATCTGCAGTGCGTCTCCATGACCAAGTTCAGGATTACCTGCAGGAACATTACATGAGTTGGTCACAAGTGAAGAGCTCACCAGAACCCCAAGTTAATAAGTAATTCCCAGACTTGACAGGTTTAGGCAGGATTGAATGGCCTAATTGTCCATTCTCTGTGTTCCCAGACCAAGAAAGCTCAGGACTGAGCCACCCTGGTCTCCTTTAACCTTCTTACATTGTGTCCAGCACTGGCCCTGTCAGACACAGTACTGGAAGCAGCCACAGCACCAGAACCATGATAGGATGGGAAGTATCTCTGCACGTGCCTCAGACAACTGCAAGGTGACTCATGAGATGGGACACAGCACAGCAGTTAGGGAGCTAGCTCACAACCAGCAGTGGTCAATGCATCCAGTTAGCAGGCAGAACACCGGGAAAGGACAGCATAAGGGGACAGAAGGTTTACAGCGCACATCACTACGGCCAGACATGTTACTGTATCCTTGGAATAGCCCAAGTTATCCAGGATTTTCTGAGATACCACTGTCACACAATGGGCTGAATTTCATTTGTGAATGTAGCAGAACCCACAGAAAAACAATGAAAAACCACAACAAATGGGATAAACAACTTGGAATGTATGTTCTGTCAGTTCCATGCCATCACTTTTGAAGAATGAAGGTGTTGCTGTGTGATCAGAGCTGTGGTCTTTACTGAAATAAGAGTTACTTTTTTGAATTACATGAGCCACATGGGTAAAAAAATAAGATAACTATTAACATTTGAGATCCAGATAATATCTATTAATTTATTCTGGGATGGTAGACAGATTTAAGAATAAATCTGCATAGACAGTGCTATCTGACAACATGCAACACATCAAAAGAAATGTATTAATTATTAGCATAAGGCTTGTCTTCATGCAAACGAGCAAAAAATTTTTTTAAAAAAAAATCACACAAGGAAATATTACAGATCTTGAGTACCTACAACTTTTGGCAAGGGAAAAAATACACTGTATCAATGTTAAAAGATAAAATATATTCCACCACCTGTCATTGTCTCTAAAAGGGAAAGCAAAACTTCTTAATCAAAAGATCCTTTTCTTGTAAGAGATGTTAAAAAATATACTACATATTAAATATATTAGTACACAATCAGTTAATACATCCAATCTTTCTGGCTAGAAATCAACAATGCTTTGTAAACACTTTGCTTTGTAGCATTCAAATCATAATTTAAATTCTTGCTGTGACCCAATCCACCTTCTGAGAGGAGATACATAACATACAATAGTTACTAGTAAGTAACAGGTGCATTGCTGGCACTTTCTGAAAAAGAGCCATCACCCTTGAAATAAGTTTTCTCCTTAAACTGTATCACATGATGTCTTCCCCGTGCACCTACCATTCAATTCATGGTTTCAACCAGCTTTCCCACTACACGTGTGCTTTCAGCAAATTAATATTTCTGACTTTACAGTTTAAAGCTTTACAGTTTGTTCATTGCAGGAAGAGCCGTGCTAGTTATTGACATACAAAGTAAACTTACTCAGGATCATGAGATGGGCCGGTCATATTGACGGGGTCATAGACCAGTGAAAGTTTATGCATTTGACAGTAATGGTTGATCTTCGTCATACACTCACGATCCATTTTGACACAATCTTCAATAGGTGCTGCAAAGTAACATTCAAAGATGTGTCTGTTGCTCTAGATAGTACCTGATCTTCGTAGATGGTCACTGCTATGATATAAAATAGAAAATTGGTGCCAGTAACAAAGTTCATGGGAAACGAATTCGAATTTCGAATTCAAGTGATTGTCTCCAAAAGTTTTGGAAATCATTGCTTGGAATAAGAGTTTTAGCTAGCAGAGCGGAGAATTCAGTGATTAGAGACTTCTTAGCAGATTTCGTAACAGAAAAAGATTGAATCATTCACTGATTTCTGTGGGAAGAAAATAATCAGCAACGTTTCTCCAGAATTAGAATCGGCTCCCGCAAAAGAGAGCCGGACGGCACGGAACATATCCCTTGGAGCGGCGATGACGCCAGGCGCAGCCACACGGACCCAAGATGACCCCAGGCTGCCGTCACCGAGCGCGGCGGGCCAGGCCTGCGCAGCCGGGCTGCGGGCACCCATCCGGCACGGACCCCTGCCCTTCCTCCCGCCGCCGCCCCGCCGGTACCTCCGAGCCGCTGCCGACGCTCCGGGACCCGCGGGCGCTCCACCAGCCGGCCCGGCCCGGCACACTGCGCACACCCCGCCCACTTTCGTTTCCCGCGTTAGAAAGAAAACGAAAGCGAAAGGCAGCCGAGGGCGGGAGAGCTACGCAGGGAGCGGGTCGGATGTGGCCCGAGGCGGGGGGAGCCGGGCTCTGCCGGCACAAGGAGCGGCGCCTCCGCTCCTGCGCTGACGGGGAACCGGGGCTCCCAGGCAAGCGAGCGCCTTCGCGAAGACCTGACCCCCGGCCTTGCCCCTGACCCCCTGGCGCCTTTTCCTGTTACAGTAACCACACGCTACAGCTCAGCAGCCCGGCCAGCGGAGAGCAGCGCGCACACAAATACATCCAAATCCCTCAAGCCCAAGAACCCCCAGAGTTTTATATCCTCAGTCTCCCCCGGGGCGTCAGTCCCGCTCTTCCTTCTCGTCTTCTGTCCCCCTGCTCCGTGTTCATACAACGCACTGGAGTCACCTTATCCAAAAGGTCGGCAGTCACCGGCCACCCGTTACCCTCAGTTGTCCATTCACCTGGCTGCAGTCACTTGTCTTCATGTCCTTTGTTATCCCAAAGGCTGGGAATTCATGGCCGCTTGTCTCCAGCTCCAGCCAGGAGCCCAATCTGTATTTCAATCGGCGGATTGCAGGCCAAGACACCTGGGTGAGAAGCATTCCTCAACACATTGAGCTTGAAATATATTATGGGCATCACTGAACATGAATGTACTTCATAAAAAATCTCTTACTGGGATAAAGAAAAAAAATCAGCCACCAAATTAATATATTCTGTGGAAGTGGGAAAGAAAAATCTCCAAGATTAGTTTTCCAGAGCTAGATGTAGAGGATGGAGCAAATTATTGCCACTGAGCACACAGGTCACCTACTCCTGATCACCCAGATTTGACTTCCACCCCCTGCAAGGTCTCTCTGCAGCAGAAACCAGACAGCTGTAGAAAAGGAAAACAGCAGTAAGCCTTAGGTCTTCCTCAATATGAGGAAACAGCTTGGGCACCCAGGAAGCTCACCTGCTCTCACATAGTGCTAACACAACCAAAAAGGAACCCACTGAGACGCCAGTGGAGATGCAGGAAAAACCCACCAGTGAGTTCCAAATGTTGAACTCCTAAACATAAACATCTTGTAGCAAAAAAAGGACAAACTGTGATACAAGTTGAATAATTCACAAATTATTATTTATGTATGGACAACAAGTTTTCTTTGGAAGTGTTTATGATGTTTTTCCTTTTTACAAGATACCCAGAGCAATTCCTTGTTTAAAGATACCAAACTGGCATTCTTACATTATCACTTCTAGAATGTGCATCTATCTTATGTTTCAGTTTGTCTCCTACTCAGGTTTCCAGTGACTGTTCTTTTCCTGGTTCTCAGCTTCTGCAAGGGAATTCCAGCCTCTAGTGAGCCTGCAGAACAAGGAACAGGAGAACAAGGAGAAAGTTGCTGATAGATAAATGGTCCAAATAATCTTTAAGAGCACAAACATTAACCTTATGTAAATGTTCCTTTTCCCTAAAGTACACATAGGATCCACCGCTCACTGTCCGCAATGCAGGGCTCTCTGAGTCAAACGCCATCTTCCTAAATAGAATAAATCCTAGAAATTCAGCTATTTTTAAATCACTTTTCTATGTAAATTCTGAAAAACAGTAATTCAGTAGAGGCACATGAAATCCACATGCCTAATGCCTTTTCTGTCTTTTCAAGCAAAACTAACACATTTTATTGGAAACAACTAGAGTCATTAAAAATCCTCTTTTTGCCTTAACTACAGGATCATTAGCCATCTCTGTTTCTTCTCAGAATCCACCTCTCTCCTTGAAGGCTTGTCTTCCATAGTTGTACTTGCCATACACCAAGATTTTGGGCATAATTACTTTGGCCTTGCATGCGACTCAGTGTCTTCTATCAGATAAGGAGATTACTATCAAAGGTGTGGTTTTTAGAACTGAAAGTGACCTGCAGCGAACTTCCAGTTTTTTGGTAAAAGAAACTTTCCTCCAGCTTCGTGAACTGCAGTTAATGATTAATAGACATTAATCATTGCAGTAAATTGACATTAGCAGTATTAAACACAAATCAAATTAAGAAAATTTGCTAGATAGCTGTTAAAAAATACCTTGTGTTTCTCAAAACATTATCAATGAACAAGAGCCTGTTAAACTTCACATTGGGGAAAATCATCAATTCTGAAACAGCCTTTGGTATATACACCTAAAAATCTTGTTCTATAAAGCTGACAAGGCTTTCATTCGAATGCCTTTGAGATTCATTTGCTCTATAAAATATTGACCTTTGGACTTTCAAATGATCCATTATTATACGGATTCTCAAAATAGTGGAGTTACAGAGGAGTTATTGACTTTGGCTTTATTAGGAACACTTGGCTGATAGATGATTTAATCCCCATGTTGTGGCTGCTGTACCCAGAAGTAACTACAGAAGGACATGCTCCAGAAGGTAACAGGGAAGCTGGGAAAGCTGAACTGAACCGAATCTTTTGCGGGCGCGTCCTCCTCCTCCTTCGTGCAGGTCTCTGTTCACGGAATGTTCTTCGGAGTGAAAACCTACAGACCTCGGCATCTTTGGGCGCCACGCTGCGACCCCGTGGAGGGTCCTGTTTGGCCTTTCCCAAGGCTGGGACAGGCTTCCCCAGCGGCAGCAGCCGCTGGCCCGGGGCTGGCACAGCCGGCCAAACTGCCGCCAACAGCCTGGAGCGGGCAGGCCCGCCCGGGTGGAAGCGCTGCGGGGGAATTCTTTCACGCCAAAGCTGTTCCCTGGCAGCATCTCAACAGGTTATTTTCCAACCAGCTGCCCCGTTGCCTCATCCAGGAAGCATTCCTACACAGAAGGAAAAATCCAAAGTAGAACACCGAACGTCGAAACACACACCCCAAATACCGCGGCGCGGGCGCTCCCACGCCACGCCCGGCGCCCCGCAGAGCCGCTCCTGCTCCCGGGCTCAGCCGCCGCCCGCCACGGCCGGCACGGCGAGGGGCGCGCCGCCACTGCCAGCGGCAGCCGGGGCACGGCAGCTCCCGCGGCCTTGCTTCCCTGCCCGGCGCCATCCCCAGCCCTCACAGGCTGCCGGGATTCGGGCAGGCTCTCCTCATAGCCCAGTGCAGAGCCCTGCGCGCCTCCAACCCTCCTTTTCTGGGGGACGGGAGGGGCACCTGGGAGCGCCGAGCTCCGCCCCCGCCCCGCGGGCCTGACGTGAGGGGCGGGCCCGGGTGGCCCCGCCGCGCTGTGCCCGGTCCGGGCGGCTCTGCCGGCGGTCCGGGGTGCTCCCCTCCGCCGTCCGAGCGGGGCGGCTCTCGCGGGAGGCGGCGCCATGGGGCTGCACGGCGTCAAGGCGGTGTTCTTCGACCTGGACAACACGCTGATCGACACGGCGGCGGCGGGGCGGCGCGCCATCGAGGAGGTACTGCCCTTGTCCCCCTTCCGACGCGGGGCCCGCGGCCACCGCGGCTCCCGGCCCGGTCTGGTCTGGTCTGGTCTGGTCTGCGGTGCCGCGCGTGTCCTGCTGCCTCCCCCGCTGACAGGCGGCCGGGCGCCGCTCCCGGGAGCGCGCCGCGCGGCCCCGCAGCGCCCTGACGCGCGCCCCCGCGTCCCTTGCAGGTGATCGGCGCCCTGCAGTCCAAGCACCACTACGGGGAGGGAGAGGCCCGCGCCGTCTGCGATAAAGTCCAGGCCAAGCTCCTCAAGGAGTGCCACGATCCCGCCAAGATGTGCATCACAGACCTGCGGATTTCGCACTGGGAGGAGGCGATCCAGGAGACCATCGGGGGGGAGGCGAACCGCGACCTGGCGGCCGAGTGCTATTACCTGTGGAAGACGACGCGGCTGCAGCACCTGACGCTGGCCGAGGACACGCGGGCCATGCTCACCGAGCTGCGGAAAGGCCTCCGCCTGCTGCTCCTCACCAACGGCGACCGGCAGACGCAGAGGGAGAAGATCGAGGCGTGCGCCTGCCAGCCCTACTTCGATGCCATCGTTGTGGGGGGAGAGCAGAAAGAGGAGAAACCGGCGCCATCCATATTTCATTACTGTTGCGATCTCCTGGGGGTGCAGCCTGCAGAGTGCGTGATGGTCGGTGACTCTCTAGACACAGATATTCAAGGAGGCCTGAATGCTGGCTTGAAAGCAACGGTCTGGTTAAACAAAGCAATGACTGCCCCAGTAGATACCTCCCCTGTACCTCATTATGTTATTGCTTCTGTACTGGATCTTCCAGCAGTGTTACAGAAGATGGAGCACAACGCTAATGCTAAGTTAGAAACTGACCGTATGGCTAGTAGAAATGAAGCACATTGATGATGGTTCCAGCATACAGAGACCTGCTGAGCTGTTAGGTGACAGATGCTCTTTTTAAAAGTCTGACCCTAGGAGTTTGAACTCATCTGTGGTCTCTTTTAAACAGCAGAGGGACGAATAAGAGCACAGTTGTCAGTGAAAACCAGACAGAAGCACAGAATTATATTAATTTAAATGATGCAAGTTAATTTAAAGGCACTGCCTCTGTCTGGAAATTATTTTGACAGACCGTGACAGAAGTCTGTCTGTCTCTGACCGAAGTTGCCAGTCTCTTGTATATATAGTGGAAAAGAAAATTTGGATGTTCTGAGCTTTCACATGCTTTGCTGACATGTAAGCTTGGCAGAAGCTTCAGTTCTGACCTTGTGTGCGGTGTGTAAGAGAAGGTGACAAAGAGAGTGTGGTACAATCTGGTAAATCCTCACAACTGATCTACAGTTTATCTCAGGAACTGGAGTGAATGTTATTATTTCTCAGACTATTAGAAATGCTCTACCTTTAAACTTTTTTAAAAGTTTTAGATTTTTTTTCAGACTTTGCAGTGGTTTTTCTTTTATGGAACTTGTATCTCTTGCCAAAACTACTTAAACATACATAAAAAATTTGCTTTTTTATCGGGGACCATTTATCAGAGGAACTTGATTAATAAGCTTCTACTTTATAATATCTTGGTGCTTATGCAGATATGCAGTATACTTGTAATTCAGATTATGATTTTTGTTGAAATGGATAAAATAGGGATATTTTCAGTAGTGCTACTGTACTGTCAGATTCTTCAGAAGCTAATATCGTTGTTCTGTCTGATGTTATCAGTGAATTTTGATCAGACTTCTTGGAGAAACTGTTCTTGGTCTTGTTCAGGTGTATGACTATTCAGATTCAACTGTAGGATCAGTGGCTTTTCTGACTGTTTTAATGGCACTGCTGTATAATCCCTCCTTACTCCAGTTTGCATGTGTAATTCATGTGATTTATTCTGGAGAAAATACAAGCTAGTTGTCTGTAAATGGCTCTCATTACTCTCTTCCAGGAAACTGGAAAATTATGTCCTATGTATTACAGTACTGTATACAACTTCATAAGGTATATGTGATATTTCCACTACATGTAGGAGATGACTGTCTGAAACAGTAAGGTTTCTCTTTCCCAGATCATTACATTAATTTTTTTCTGTGCCTCATATTCTTACTACATAATGGGGAAGTATTCTCATATTAAATGGAAATGTAAACACCTGTTGGCAAGTCTGTGGTTTTCAGCCCTATTTGCTCTATATTCACCAGGATGAGTATCAGACCATATATGAGAAATCAAATTTTATATTTTAGAAAAATTCCATGACAGATCTTTTGAGAAAAGGGGTATTAGGCTACTGGCAGAAGAGTGTCTGGCATGTGGGCAGCAATTAGAAGTACAGAAATCTACTATGAAATGGGTGTGTAGAAGAAATTCTATATACAAAAAACATTCATGTCAAATTAAACAAAGGAACCTAAATTAATGCAGTTGAGTCTTGCATAGGATGACAGTCAGTTTAGAGAAGGCTGTTACTGGTTTGGGTTAAATTATTTGACAAGGAGTTTAGGTTGGATCAAAATATGTTGTTCCTACATTGAGGAGGAGGGAAAAAAGAAAATAAATATTCAATAAATTTGGAACCCCTTTCCCAACTGTCCATTAGAAAAGGTAAAGCAGTCCACATTCATTGTCTTACCTGGCCAAGACTGTTGAGACATCAGGTCAAGGAAGAGTACAGAGACAGACCCCACCTATTCCTTTGAGGAAATGGGCATATACTGAAAACAATCCAATTACAGCAGTACAGTAACGTGAACCAGTGGCACTGACTTGTCACACCTTCTGAAGGAAGAGGCCTAAGTTAAGACTTTGGTTTGCATTTGAAGAGCATGGAAGCAGTCACTGGTTTAGCTGATGAGCAAAGCATTTCTAGTAACATTTCTTAGAACCGGTGATTGAGACAAGAATAATAAAGATCATTGATCCTGTCAGCGATACTGTGTAAAAATGGAAAAGTATCCAAAATATTAGAGGGATCCCTGAAGTAATCTGACTATACCATCTAATACAAAAGCAACAACTTTGCTTACAACAGCATCCCAAAGGAGCTACAGGGTGACTGACTCTGCCTTGTTTGCACAGCAGCAGGGTAGTAGAACTTAGGTCAGAATGAGGTTTCTGATACAGCTGATATTTAAAGTAACAAATAGTAATAATTCACAAGTCTGTCTGTGGAGACAGAAGGAGATACAGATACATAAATATATAGGTATATATTGCACCAGGTTACCATTTTTAAATCTAGGTTGAGGCTCATATTCTCTTGCCACTGCATCATTCTGAAGTGGCATGCCGAGCCTGCTTATTGTATAAAGGGTCTCTTGTTTTAGAAGAGACTGATCTTTGTTTTGCACATGGCCAGCCATTTCTTTTCATCTCTGACTCTGAAAAACCACAGTAACTGCATACTCAGATGACAGTGGGGTCTCTAGAGGCCACACCCGAGTATATTTTTCATTTTTGAGTTCTGTACCAGGCTGAGTGTGGCTACTGGTGTCCAGAGAGGGAAACACTGTTATGATGCTTCTATAAAACAAGGAGAAACAATACAAGACTTTTCTCTATCTAGGGCCATTCTTAAAAGCAGTTACCCAATAAACTGGATTAGGTGTCTGGAGTATCCCTAAATACTCAAGATGTTTCTCTTAGATAGAGCTGTTGCAGAAAGGATAATGAAAAATAATTATATCTAGTAAATTGGAAACATAAATGTAATGATGGGATAATTTTCACATCAGAAGCAGGAGCAAAACAATTAAACAGACTAGTAACAGTTCTCATTAAGTTCTGGTTTTGCTTAGTGTTATGCTCTCTTAGATAAGTTTTCTAGCTTAAACTATATTGCCAAAACACAAAAAATAAAAAGAGGAAAAGGAAATTCCATCTATATTTTTAAAACCTTTTTTTTCCAGATAACTATTACCTCCTGAGGTTAATCTACAGTAACTTTGACTTCATTGAAATGAACTGAAACAATAGTTTAATACCAACTGTATTCTAATTCTTGATTTAAAATAACCCATGTACTAGTCAATAAAAGTATTTTGTTTATAAAATGTATGTTTGAACACTCTGAATTGCTGTGGATAAATACGTTTGAGACCTGATTTACAACGAGAGGGAAGAGTTCTGTTTGTTTGTTAAAATAACACAGAATTAGGATTTGAAATCCATGACCTCAAGTTTAGATGTGGTCACTGGTATAGTTTCTGTAATTTCAAACAGAGGCTGGATCATAATTACGTGTTTATGAAGACTCATAGCCAGACTGTGTATGTTGAATTGCCAGCTGCAGTTCAGTGGTAGTTGAACCTGACCTGCCAAGCTGAATGCCAGCTCACAGAAGCCTACGTGTCCTGACGTCATGGCATTGCCTGCTGCATAAGAAGGGACAGAGAAGATCAGTAAATACAGAAATCTCAAGTCCAGGGGACCCATTCTGGCAGGTTATGGGTGCACAAAGCCACATCTGAGCTGTTGCTACATTGACCTCCGTGACTTAGGCGAGGAGGAGAGTGGGAGGTTGCTCACCTTGTGGCTTTTTTGGCTGCAGAAAAGCAAGCTCACCTTGTGGTTTTTTTTGGCTGCAAAAAAGCAAGCTGCTCCCTTATTGTTTTCTGTTGGGTAATGGAACAAATAGTCCATCTTCTGGACCTGTGGAGATAGGTGGAAAAGTAGAAGGTACTTTAAGTCACTGCAGATAAGAGAAGGACATTAAACACAGTAAAGGAGGGCTCAGCTTCTATCACAGGCACTTGGCCATGGCAGCAAGCTGTCTGCAGCATCACACACCTGCACAGCAGAACCTTGTGGAGAAAGCCTTGTATATGTAAGGCATTAAGCTGGACAGTGACAGCCTCAGAAGTGAGGGTGTTTTCTTAGGCATCTTAGAAAGTGACCTGAATGTTTTATACAGGAAACAAGCACTTTTCATTAGAGTACTAAATTAATGCAAAGAGGTAAGATGTTTGGATTCAGGTTATTTTCCTACTCCCTGCAGTGTAAGGTTTTCTTATTTCCTGAAAAAGAGACAACAGACAACTTGCTGTGCCCCAGCTAACCACAACCAACTCAGTTTGTCTTTTCCTCTAAAGTTTCTCTTACATGACACCAGTGTTAGGGCTTTGAACTGAATTGAAGTAGTCTGGCCCATCAGCAATTTCTCCTCTTCACATATGTAGCGATTTGCTTTTCAGCCTCAGCTCTAAAATGTGCCAGGTTATTGTGAGGCCTCTAAAAACCAATTTAAAATCCCACCTTAATTCTATACTACCAAAACTTGTCATCTGGAAATCATTTGAACATGTTGAGAAATACAACAAAGAGAAAGGCGATGTATCTGTGCTGTACGTAGCATATACCGTTCTTTTGTGCATGGCTTTTGCCATCAGCCTTGCAGTGGGATTGTCTCCATTATACCCTGCTTTCCAGATCATGCTGTGCACATACAAGAGACACAACAATGCAGAGATGATGTCAGCTGTGCCTAAAGCTAAAACTGCAACTTTTTGCCTATGTTGCTAGGGACCCAGAACAGAGAATCACATTGCTGCTCCTATATCATATTTTGACCTTTCATTTCATCTACTAGAAGCAAGGTTGCATGAAAGCCTTCTGCTGAACAGCCCTAAAATGCCAGGGAAAAAAAAAGGTACTTAAAATATATGAAATTAATCTATGGTGTTAATATATGAAATTACAGTTCTTCAAAAGTGCAAACCATATTTCTCAAGCTAACACTTCGCCAAAAACCAGAAGATAATGTCTCATAGGGTCTGATTTAACATGGGAAATATATTGTCATTTACATCAGTGGACCTTCACAAATTTAAGTAAGATTTACATGCTCATTTCTGTAAGATAATCTGCACGTGACATCTGCTTTCCACTTCTCCTTCCTCAGCTTATTCATCTTCATCAACTGTTTTGTCAGCTGTATTTCCATATCTTTCTGAATCACAACAATATCTAGTATTTGGGATAAAGTTGGCCGAGGACCACAATAAAACCACTGGAACACAGCCATCTTCTGATGCAAGGTCATTTTAAATATCAGCTTCACAGCAACTGTGTGCTGCAAGCATGTATATGTTTTAAATGGTCTTTCCTACAAGCAAACTTCCATTCATATCATACAGACTAGGAGAATTTTTCATTAAAAAAAAAAAAAAAAGAAAAAAACCTAAAAATGTTGGGGGTGAAAAAACAAAATAGAAAAAAGCACCTCCAAACAAAATCTCTTCGTCATCTACAGACTCCCTGAGGCAGTGACCTTTCAGTGTAACAGAAAGGTCCATCTGGAAGTGAAACCATTACATATCAAAACACATCAACTACCAAGTATCTGTTTTATTAGTTCTTCTGTGAGTGTTAAGAGTCTCAGTAAATTATTTTATTTTATTCTTCTCATTAATTAGGTCAATGAGTGTCCTCAAAGTTACTGTGCTGTTTTTGTCTGCTTACTAAAGTGTCGTAGGTCTGTCTATTTAATAAAGTCAGGCTTAACAGTTTTCATTTGTGCTGCTAGTGGAGTGGTCCTTGCTGTTAATGATGTGCCTGTTAAATTGCACTGGGGTTAGGATTTATCAGGAAGTCTGCAGTGGATGGACTGACAGCCTTTGTTTTCCCAACTGTTGATGCCTTCCATTGTGTTTTGTTACAGACTTTTAAATGAGAAGGGTCCTGAATGTTCCAAGTCCTTTTTTTCCTTTCAGGAAGAAAATGCATAACCGACACAAACAGCTTGTTTATTTTACTTTCAGTAAATGTAACTGGGTAAAAGTACTTTTCTGCTTCCATCCCTCTCATCTGAAAGTACTTTAAAAGTGCCTAACAACTTGATGTCTAAGCTACTTTGATATATTTGTTATCTTTATCCTGATACTTTGTTACACATTGTAGTCTGTTTTAAAAACTGCCACTGCTACTGTTGCAGCCAGAGGTTCGTCTTACTACTGTATAATTATAATTTTACACTGTATTTCTAGGCTGTATCTCAAAATGAAAACAAGCTCCTACTTCAGAGACACTTTACTCTGAGGTAAATCTATCTAGTTCACAGTTTCTATTTGTTTTATTTTGAAAACTGTACCCCTGCTTAATGGTGCTCTGTCCATAAAACTGACTTTCCATTTGTTTTTTTTCTGTAGAGCAGCAGTGTTTGTACAGATTTGCAGGGTGAGTAGCATGCAAGAGATGTAGGCAAAACACAGGGAGAAAAAAAAAAAACAAAACAACTCTTTGGCTTTAGGATTTGCATTTCCCACATTTTACAAGCCTTGGCAGTTCTTAGGTTGACTTAACATCATTCTCTGCAGCTTAAATTCTGTTACCAGTGAATGATGAGGAAACAAGATATTTTTGAATACTGTGTAATGATTTTCAAAGACTCTGCCAAGAAGAATTGTAACTGGCCTGTATTCTCCACTTGACACTGTCTCTCACAATATGCTAATAATCAAACTCGGGAAGTGTGGACTGGATGAGTAGACAGTGGATTGAGAGCTGGCTCAATGGCAGGTCCCAAACAGTTGTGATTGGTGGAACAGGGTCTAGGTGGAGCCCTGTCACTAGTGGTGTCCTCCAGAGGTTTAACTTGTTCATCCATGAGTTGGATGAAGAGCCAGAGCAAGTTCAGCAGGTTCACTGATGACACAAAGCTGGGAGGAGTGGCCAATGCCCCAGAGGGCTCTGAAGCCCTTCAGAAGGATCTCAGCAGACTGGAGAAATGGGCAGAGAGGAGAAATTATGCAAAGGGAGATGCAGGATCCTGCACCTGGGTAGGAATAACCCTGGGCACCAGCACAGGTTAGGGAGGAATCTGCTGGAAAGCAGCTCTGCAGACAGGGACTTGGGGGTCCTGGTAGACAACAAGCCATCCATGAGCCAGCAGTGTGTCCTTGTGGCCAAGAAGGCCAATGGAATCCTGGGTGCATTAGGAAGAGCATTGCCAGCAGGTCAAGGGAGGTGATCCTGCCCCTCTGCCCAGCCCTGGTGAGGCACATCTGGAGTGCTGAGTCCAGCCCTGGCTCCTCAGGACAAGAGAGACATGGAGCCCCTGGAGTGGCTCCAGTGGAGGGTAACAAAGGTGACTGAGGCTCTGGAGCATCTCTCTGATGAGGAAAGGCTGGGGGAGCTGGGCCTGTTCAGCCTGGAGAAGAGGCACTGAGAGGGGACCCCATCAATGCCTGGGAGTATCTGAAGGGAGGTGCCAGGAGGATGGAGCCAGGCTCTGCTCGCTGGTGCCAAGCAATAGGACAGGAGGCAATGGGCAGAAACTGATGCACAGGAACTTCCACCTGAACATCAGGAGCTGCTTGTCAGATATCAGCAGGTTCATGTTGGCATAAAACATTTTAAGGATATTCTGAAATAGGCCCCACTGTTTCCTATTTCTATTTTGTCTTCAGAAGGACCAGTGCTGCATTTGAGGTTGTATGTACTCGCTCTATAATGGGGCTTGATTAAGAAAATGGCTTTTTTTTTTCTATATTGCTGAGTCTTAAGTGATGTCCGTAAGGAGTCAGAGATGCTAATAAGCTATTTTTTGCATATTAAAAAATTCAAATATATTTCAGAATTTTTTGATTGACAATTTAGGAGTGAAGAAAGAGAAAATAATAGGACTATTTCTTGATTGCAAGTAGCCAGTGTTTGGAGTATGGTTGAAAAGAAACTCCTATCATTTGGGTACTTAAAAGTACACCCTCCTGATTATACTCACAACTACTTGTCTAACTTTCTTAAAATCTTTTCAGCTTTTTTTCATACAATAAAAATTTTGAAAGACATCAGTAACAAAGATAATGCAATTAGTACTCTGCTAGAGACTTCATTCTCACTTTTAGTGTTTCCCCAGCAGGTGGCATTAGAGGTTTGTTAGATGTAGGTAAAACCATGGTTTTTTGCTGTTGTTTTGTTGTTAGCGGTGGTTGTTTATTTATTTGTTACAACGTTCTTTATTTTTTTCTTCAGGCACTATTTTAAAAATATACCTGGTACGCATAACCTAGGTCAGAGCAGTTTTCTTTTCAATTCACACTACTCTCCAGACATC